AGTTCAATCCCCAGGACACACATGATGGAAGGAGACTCCTGCAGGTTGTTCTCTGACCTCCACATAGACACCACAGCAAGCTTTCCACCACACACACACACACACACACACACACACACACACACACACACATAAATAAGTGTAATAAAAATTCTTATGTATTAACAGAAAACCTAAGGAAGCAGGGAAATAAATTCCAGTTCCTTCACTAAAAATGTATGAAGGACCAAAAGCTTGTTCAAAACAGATTTTTGTTTTGAGACAGCATTTTATGTATCTCAGGTTAGTCTTGAACTTGCTAGAGAGCTTGAATTTCTGAGTCTCCTGTCTCTACTTTCCAAGGATCAAAGGCTCCCCCCCACACCTCCTGGGCTGTTGATTTCACGGTGGAGACTGAAGCCAGGGTTTCACGCATGCTAGGTGAGCTCTTTACCAGCTGAGCTCTGTCCCCAGCCCAACTCGGTGTTCTGAAAAGTCCAGCTTTAAAGCTGAGGGCTTCTCTGGCTATATATGGCCATCTAAGAGATGGAAGGACGTTTTCAGTTGATTATAGTTTCTGAAACCTGCAGGTAGGAAGACGGGTTTAGGTAGGCATCCTTCTCTAATTTGTTTTTAAGAAACTAAGGTCAAAATTTTACTTTTAATAATAAATAATAAATGTCCCAACTCCTAAGCTGTGTGCTTTTCTGGCTATTCTTTAAGTCATCTGTAGAGTGTCTATATTTTCCCTAGGACAGTAAGCAATATAATTAAAGAAAACAAACTGTCCACTCTTCCCCAACACTGAAAAAGGTCTAGAGAAAGGATCACGCGTGGAAAATGACCCGGGTCTAAATGGACAAGCAGCACTTGGGGAGAAGCCCCCACCCCAGAGAGCTGTCACAGACAAAGTTTCTTTCCCAGGAGGTCCTGCTCACTCAGGAGACATCTAGTCCATGCCTCAGGAGAGGCTAGGGGTGTTTCCAGTCTTCCCTGCCAAGCCTTCGCCTTTTTATGAGCTCGGTATCTCCCAGAAGCATCTGCGGCATAAACAGAAGTGACTCTCACAGGGAATGACGCAGGCAGGCACCTGTCCCTGTTCTCCAAATCAGCCAAAAAGCTGCAGAGCATGGCATCCGGAGACTGCAGGATGAAGAGAAGGGGAAGCACCAAGTGAGCGACTGCTTTTGGTTCCAAAGCCAAAACATGTACACACACACACACATACACACCACCACACCACACCACACCACACCACACCACACCCACTTGTAGGCAGGGCTCCCAGAAATAGCAGCTGGTCGGCATGAGGAACTCTGCTATTCCTGGAGTCAAGAAACCAATATGATGGATGGCCTTGGAGCCCCACCCCATGAAAGCCACAGTCCAAGAACTAGAGCAATTTACACCGTATCACAGTCTGCAAAGGAATGGACTAATAATCCTCAGTGAGGAGGGTGAGCACTTTGACAAGGCTGGAGGCAAGGTGAGCTATCCCAAAAGCACAGCTGTGACAATCCCTTGATTGCTGTGTGGCCTTCTGCATATCACTGGCCTCTTCTCAAAATGGTACCCAACCCTCAAAGGGCTTGAGGGGCATCAGATGCACCCCTGGAAGATCATTCCTTGCCCCCTCCTTGTCAAAGGACTTCCCGTTTTAAGCTGCTGATGACATGCTGCTCTCTGCTCTAAGCAGAGTTCAACTTCCTTTTGTTTCAGAGTTTTGCATTGGCCTCTGAGGCCATATCCAGGACACAGAGGCAAGTGCATTTCTGTATCCATGCGAGAGCCGGTCGTCTTCTGCTGTCAGGTCTGTGTTCCGGAGTTTGGTCAATGCGTCTTTACAAGAGTGAAACCATGCATGTGTATACAAACAGACTATTCTGAAAAGGGTTCCTGGTTACTTTGACACCTCCCCTAAAAGCAATACCTTCCTTGGGGGAAGATGAGTAGGACACCGGATGACCTGTTCCTAACTTCTGGAAAGGTAGCTTGTTCTGTCCATTTGTCAGTGAGGGGATAGGAGGAACCCAACATTGTCAGTTACAACAAGATTTTGTAGTTTGTTTGTTTTTTTAAAAAAAAGGTTCTATGTGGAAATGAGTGGGACAATGATAAAAATAAACATAATTAAAATCCCAAACCAAAACATAGCTCTCGGCCCCCATCCCCAGTTAGTCCTCCAAGACCACAATCTCCACATTGTGGACTTGATGCTGGTGTTCTTCCATCTCAGCCACCACTTTCTCCTCAGTCCTCAGCTCTGTCTCCAAGATGACCGCTTTGCCCTCAGTGTCTTCAGCCTCAGGGTCTGGGGCCGGGTCAATCTCGATGATGGTCTGCCCGTCCTCCGAGGTGCTTTCAACAGCCTGGATTGCTGAAGTCAGGCCAGACTCCATGGCCACCAACTCCACGGGGCTCACCATGGTGGCCATATTGCCCAGGGTACTCCCATCCTGCATAGTGGTGGAGCTTAGCAGTGCCAAGCTTGATGAAGGGTGGATGGTCACTGTGTCTGGTGAGCTGCTCTTGGCAGAGGAAACCACTGTGGCGTAGCGGAAGAGCTGAGGGCCAGAAGGCAGCGTGTGGACAGTCACAGGACTGGAGCCCTGGCTGAGGGTAGCCACCGGAATATTGCCCATGGAGAAGGACTGCCCCACGGGGGTGATGGTGATGGGCGAGATGACAGTGAACTGAGGCTGCTGGACAGGAGAAGGACTCAGGACAGTGGTGGAGGCCGGCCGCTGGAGCCGGGGTCTTTTCGGAGGCTTTGGGGTGCTCACAGGCATTAGTACCACATTTTGAACCGTCTGGGATTTCAGTCTAGGATCTTGGGCTTGCTTTTTTTGCTCTTCCAACTGCCGTTCCAAGTCTGCCAG